CCCCCCCCCCCCCCCGGAGCTGCACTCACACGGCAGCCTTTCATCGCCCTCCACATCCACGGGGGAGCCCAAATTTAGCCGTCAGTCCCGTCCCCCCCCCCCCAGGGCCGGGCTCAGAGCAGCATCTCGGTCATCTTGGATTCAGGGCGTGAAACGGGGGCACGCAGGAGGAGCAGCGCGCTGCAGGTGCTGTAACGGCTTCGGGGGGGGGCTCAGCCACACACACGGAGGGAATCGGGGCAGAAATGGGGCGAGAGCCTTTTGCTGGGCTCACCTGGGACCCGGCTCCCGCCCTCACCCGCAGAGCACACAGTGCCGTCCTTTCCTTCCCCCCTACGGATTCCCTTTATTCCTTCCCCCTCCATCGCCCCCCTACTTTCCTGCTCCCCCTTTTTCTCCTTCCCCAATCCCCTTTCCCCATCCCCAGCTGTCAGGAAACCCTGTGGGCTGGGGGGGGGGGGGCTGCCCCCATCCTCAGCCGCATTTCAGGCTGGGGTTCACCTGCCGGCAGCACCGCCACCCCAGGTCACCCCTCCCCTCCCCGGCAGCCCCACCATGCTGGACACCATCAGCAGTCAGTACGACTCCTTCATCTACTGGAGGATGCCCATCCCGCGGCTGGAGCTGGCGGAGCTGGAGGGGCTGGGCCTGGGGTCCCTCTATGCCCCCCACGGCAAAGTGCCCGAGGCGGCCCAGGAGCCCGGCCGTGCGGAGGAGGACAGCCTGCTGCCCTTCAGCAGCTTCAACTTCTGGAGGGCGCCCATCGCCAGCCTCAGCTCCTTCGAATTCGACCTCATCTGACGCCCTCCTCCCTGCTCCCCGTTGCCAGGCATGCCAGGGTTCGGTTTCGTTGGTTCTGTGCGGTGTCGGGTGTTTGGTTTTGCTTTATTTTAACCCCCTGGGCGCTGCTAAGGAAGCCTGTGCTCAGCCCAGCCCTGCGGCACCGCCTCACCTCCTCCATCCCTCCTGGGAACGCGGCGGGGCGAGCGGAGCCAGGCTGTCCTTGGGATGGAACCCGTCTGCTTCGCTCCTCAGCGCTGTGCTGAAATCAGAAAAAGGAACCAAAGCTCCACTCGCTTCGGATTTTTATGTGCTTTGGTTGTGGTGTTTTATTTTTTTTCCCCCCCAAGATTGTTTTCTGGGAGAGCAAACAGCAGCTCTGTCATTGTGGGTGCGTTTGGGGTTGGATGCAGTGCCATGGGAAGCCGTAGGAAAGCCGTGATGCAAAACATCCCAAAAGTGACCTAAAAAAAAGAGGGGCAGGCGGCTGGTGGCAGCCAGAGCGCTGGGAAGGCACCAGAGCTGGGCACAACTCCCCGGTGAGAGCCGCACCTCTGACAACGACCCACTGCTGGCAGAGGTGGAAAATCCCAACTCCAAAACACGGGCTGGAAAAGCGGGTGCCAATGTGAGCCCATAACTCACGTGGGGCTGCCCAGCCATCCGCGAGGAGCATCACCTCCACTGCTGGCAGCAGGCACAGCCCGTGCATCTGCAGACAGCTGCCACTGGAGGGCCAGCATCCTGTCAACACAGCTGTGTCCCATTCCTGCCTGAAAGAGAGAAAAACGGGTTCAAAGTAGAGCCGCCGCCCCATTTTCCTCCACAACCCGACGCCTTTCGCCCCCCGCCCGCGGTGGGCAGCCCCCCCCCCCCCCCCCCAGGGCTGTGTGAGGTGTGTCCTGGTTTCTGCCACGGCCCCACACTGGACACAGCCGCTGTGCCGGCAGTCTGGCACTGCTGCTTCCCTGTGCCGCCTTCCGCGCCTGCCAATAAAGGCTGAATGTCCTCCTATGAGTGCTGCTCCTTTCCTATCCTCAGTGCCAGGATCGCAGGGCTGGGTGCTGCGCTGCTCAGCTCCACGCAGCACCTTCTTTAATGGGAAGGAAGAAGGCTGCCATCTCTGGCCCCACGCCGCTCTCTGGGGCTCAGGATACGATCTGTAAGCCGGTGGGTCACCCAGCTCCCGCAGCCTTTGGGTCCTGCTCTACGGGTTCCTTCCCATCAATGCATTCCACCCCATAACACCCCCCCCCCCCCCCCCAGATCACCTCCAGGGCTCCGACACCGCACCCACTTCAACTGTAAATCATCACTGCGGGCTAAAAATGAATAAACAGCGCCTCACTTTGCCTGGAGGTGCGGAGAACTGACGGGACAAAGCAGAGGAGGGAAGGAGGGATGGGAGCAGAGAACACAGAGATCAGGAACGCACCGAAGCAGCGCTGTAGCCAGCAGTAAAACATACAAGTTCAAAAAAAAAAAAACTACAGGCAAAAATCGCACATTTCTGAACCCCGCGCCCCCAAACACGCACCGCACCCACCGAAGGCAGCCCAACCCTCACAGAGCCGCCGCCGCCCTTTTATAGTTGGCGCCAAACGCCTCTGCCGGAACTATGAGGACTCATCGCTCCCTCTGCATGAGGTAGACTGAGATCCTTCCGCTCGAGAAAATAATCCCCGGTGGGCCCCTCGGATTCTCGGCACCTTTCTCCAGCCCTGTGGTCGGAAAGAAAGAGGAGAAAGAAGGAGGAGGAACCCCTCAGACCGCCCCGTGCCCGCTGCAGACCCCATCTCCTTCCCTCCGCTCCCGGCGGACTCTTTGGTCGCTGCGCGCCGTATCCTTCCGCGGCGGCCATTTTGCGTGCGCGCGCGGGGGGGGGGGGCGGAGCAGAGCGTGAGTGGGGCTATGGGGTGTGAGGGGACGCTGAGGGACGGGCGTCGGGAGGACGATGGGAGGACAATGAGGTGCGGGTTGTCTTTGGGGGTCTCTCATGGGGGTCCTCAGAGCGTTTTGGGGTGGGGGCAGGGAGGGCCCGTTCGCCCTGAGGGGTGATGGGGGTCGGTGCAGCCCTGTAGGTGAGCGCTGAGGGAGGTGACTGTGTGACGAAGCGCCGTGGTTGGGGCTCTGCAGTGGTTCCTATGAGCTGCAGCGTTCGGAGGATCCCACAACTGCGGCGCTGGGACTCCTGGAGGTCCTCCGCTCCGAAGCCCCCCAAAGCAGTTCCCTGCAGCGGGGTTGGATCTCTCCAGAGCTCTCTTCAATTCCTCTGTGCCGTTCTCCTCATAGCACAAAAGTTTGTATGTTCAGACGGAATTCCCCGGGCTCCAGGCTGAGCCCACCGCCCCTTACCCTGTGCTGAGCAGCGCTGAGCAGAGCCCGGCACTCCTCCTGAGCTCCGCCCTTCAGATCAGCGCTGATCAGACCCCTCTCAGCCAGCTCTTCCCCAGGTGAACGGTCCCGGGGCTCCCATCAGGAGGTGCTGAGGCCCCACCGTCTCTGCAGGGCTCTCCCAGCACTTCGGGTTTGTCCTGAACTGGGGAGCCCCGTGCTGGGCTCAGCGCCGCAGCCGTTGCCTCCCCGTGGCAGAGCGGAAGGGAGCAGCGCCGCCCTGCCCTGCCGGCCCCGTTCTGAGCTGCAGCTCGGGGAACCATGATCCCTCTTGGCCAGCAGGGCCCGCTGCTGGTTCGTGGTCCGTCTGCTGGCCACCGGTACCCACAGAGCTCCTTTCAGCAGCTCAGCCCCCACCCTGCACTGATGCATTCGTGATAGTGAGCCAAACATCTCTTGGTTCCCAACCTCAAGCGTTGCATGTTCCAGCTGAACACTTAAATTCACAGCTCTTCCCAACGCAGACATACAAGATGTGATTTTAGAGCTGCCAAAGGCTACGCTGCCCAGTGAGAGGTGGGGTTGAGGTTTGCGCTTGGCTTTGCTGCAGGGCCTTCTGGTGGCCCTGTGTGCAGTGTTGCAGCACTTCATTTTTGAATTCTTCATTTAAAAGCAGGCCCTCTTAGAGCTTCCAGCAGTTTCATAGAGAAGCAGTTGAAGGAAATAAAGATGTTGCATTGTGGCCTTGGTGCAGTTGGAATTGCTGTTGCCCCGCACGGCCCACGGCCTGCCTGCACAGCTGTGTGTAGACAATTGGAGTGTTGTCAGAGTGAATGGATGGGCTTTAAAGCTGGGCTTTCACAGAGCGGCATGCCAGCGTAACCCTGATGTGGGGGAAAATGCAGTGGTTCTCTGTGCTGCCATAATGGTTGGGTGCTGGCGTGGTTTGGGATCAGTAGAGATGCTGTTGTCTGCGGGGCTGACTGCAGGACTGGTGGCATTTGGGTTCTGCTCCTTTTCTGACCTTGGCGGGAGTTACGAGGTTTGCCTTCTCTCTGTGAGGGATCATCGCTGGGGTTGGGGAGCCGCTCGGAGGTTAAATGCTGTCCTGACTCCTTGTTTGCCATTTATTCTCTGTGATGCTCAGCCTCTTTCAGAGCTGCTCTTTCAGTGTTACCTCTTTACCACAGAGTCCTGTGTCTTTGGCACAACACCTGGCAAGGAACGGCCCAGGCTGAGGGCATGGCTGAGCCCTGAGGGCTTCTTGCTGCTCCTCGGTGCTCTGTGCTGCGGGAAGCACCCTGATGGGCCGCGTTCCTCTTTCAGAACGATTTGTGGATGCCAAGGACATGCTGGAAATGACTGCTCTACACTGGGCAGCAGAACACAACCACCGGGCCGTGGTGGAGCTGCTCGTCAGATACGGAGCCCATGTCCACGCCTTGGGCAAGTTTGATAAATCACCCCCTGACGTCGCTTTGGATAAGAACGATCCGGAGACCCGGTGACCCTGCAGGTAGGCTGACGGGGGAGGAACCTGCTGGTGATTGACACAAAGCTGCAGGGAGAACTGAGCCGATGGTTCTGAGGGAATCTTTCCCTGATGCTCGGATTGGAGCGCTGAGGCGGCTCCGTGTTCTCGGTGTGACGCTGCAGATCCGCAGCCCTTCTGCATTGCTGTCACAGGGCTGTGTGGGAACGTCCCTGCGTTGGCAGGGGTGCAGGGTGCTCGCAGCAGAGGGCAGACGGATGTTGGGTGCAGGAAGGGCAGCCACCACGCACAGCAGGTGTTGGCTTCTGGCCACGGAGCCCAAGAGTTTTCTCTCTTTTTGCTGGGTGATTCCCAGCCCGCGCAGGAGGCTGGATCCGCTGTGTGTGGCGGAGCTCAGCTGTGGGGCTGCTCCAGAGCCTCAGAAGATGGATTAGGATGATTGCAAGAGAGGAATGGCTGCTGTAGCCTGTGCAAAACCCTCAGCACTGCAGCGCTGCTGGGGGGTGTTGGCTTTGTTCTCTGTTGGCTGCAGAGGAGCTGGGTGCACGATCTGCGAGTGCTGAGCAAGGAGAAGAGGGAAAGTCCTTGCAGAACGAGCAGCCCTGCGGACGTGCGTTACGCACACGTGTGCTCGTCGCTCCTGTGCTGGTGGCAGTAATTCGGTTCCTCATTGCTTTGTAAGCCACGCTTTGGTGGGAAAGCACTCAGTTAAGGCTGAGCCAAACGGGGGCTGGGGTAATTCCAGAGTTTGTCACCAACTGCGTTTGGGGAAATCCAAACCGCTGCTCCTTTCCCACCACACGGGCGGGCCGCCGAGCGCAGGCTGGGCGCAGCGTCAGATCCCGGCCGACCTCCTTCGGCCCCGCGGTGACCGGCGGCGCTGCTCCGTGCTGCGCTCCTCGTTTCCCACCAGAGGGCATCAGCGGCCGCCGGCGTCCCTTGAACCCTTTTGCCGCTACGAATATCCCGCAGCCTGGAGGGGTTTTACGGAGGAATTAGCGCTCGGCCGGTGCGAGGAATCCGATTATGGGCTGCTGCGAGCTGTGTGCGCAGCCCAGGCCTTGGGAGCGTTCTGTGCAAATCGGTCCCTCAAAACCTTCCTAAAATCGAGGGCAGCAGATGGGCTGCAGGGGGGAAAGGACTCCCCTGTGGTGCTGGGTGAGGTGCAGGATCTTTTTAGTGCTGATTTTTCAGTCTGTGGGGCGGTTGTAGGTTGTGTGCGTGCCAATAAAGGGCTGTTTGCACCCTTTAACCTCAGATTTCCTGCTCCGTTCTTACAAAGTCCGCCTTTGAATAGGAATCGCTGCGGTCAATTGGAGGAAGGAGCATTGTTTGGGGAGCTGAGCTCTGCTTATCACACTGGGATCGCTGCAGCAGTGACTGTACTTTCCCTTACTGAACCGAGGGGGGAGAAAGAAAGGGCCTCGCCTGCCCTTTGAGCCGGGTCGCGTTCAGGAGCGTGGCGACAGAGTTCACACCACCCTTCCCCTTTGGGTCTTTCTTTCTCCGCAGCTCAGTGCTTCAAACCGGAGGTAACTGGAGCTCTGCAAGTGCCACGGAGGTTCTCAGCCCCTGTGCTCGGATGTCCCCCCCCGTGCTCCCAGCGCACGGCAGCTCCCCGCTGTCCCCGTTCCCTGCAGGCCGTGCCGTCCCGCCTGCTGTCTGCTCATAACCAGGGGCAGCGGCTGCCATCATCACCTCAGAGCCGGGGAAGGGTCATGAAGGAAGATCTGCTTACCAGCTGCTTCCAGCTGCAGTCCTCCTAATTAATGAGCTGGAATGCTAATGTTTTGGTCTCACTAATCTGCAGAAAAGAGCTTTTTCTCGGCAGTGTTTTACGCGCGCCCGGCGCGCTGTGCTGTTTCCCCCACTCTCGCTAAGGCTCGCTGTTCCCAGGTTGTACCCGAGCTCGGCCACCCGGCCTGGGTTTCAATTCAAGGAAGAGAGGCGGAAACGCTGACGCTTCTGTTGTTTTCCTGTTGGCACTGACCTCATTTCCCAAGGCGACGCAGAGGAGCTGCGGGCAGCAGAGGGCAGCGCGTCGTCACCGTCGGCACCGCGCGGGACGGGCGGGAGGGCAGGAGCGGAGGGCCGGCAGCGGGCCCTGCGGCCCTGAAGGCCGACGGTTCCCCGGGCCGCTGTGCCCGGAGCCAGCCGGCAGGGCAGGGCGGCGCTGCTCCTCTCCGCTCGCCACCGCGAGGGCGCTGCTGGGCGCACGGCACGGAGCTGCCGGGTGTCTGGGAGCCGCGTGGAGCTCCGTCTGAACGTGACCGGAGCTGAGCAGAACGGGATCGCGGAGCCGCGGCGGCCTCCTTAAGCAGAGATCCGAGCCCCCGCCCTTCACTGCGCGGCCGCTGTGGGCGTTGGGCTGGGGGCGCAAGGTGTGAAGGTGGGGCACGGCGCCGGGCTGAGCTCCAGAGCTGCTCCGTGTTTGCGTTTCCTCAGGGCGCTTCGGCCTGCTCTCCTGAGAGCCTTCAGCGCGCCGCAGGGCTGCGTGCCGATGTGGATTAATATCGGAGCAGGAAAAGGGATTAGGAAATGAGCTCCAGTGTTGAGGGTTACATCGCTGCTGTCTGCTTGCAGGCCTCGGGAATGGAAAGCAGTCCTCTAAAGCTGTTAATTGATCAGAATTGCTTGCCAAATTACTACAAACGATCCCTGGTTGTAACCCGTTCTGTGAGCTGTGGGGCATTGCTGCCCTCGCTGCTCACACTGTCTGTCTCTCCTGGGCTGGGTGTCTTCTTGCTGAAGACAGCCCATGTTATCAGGTTCAGAACACACTTCTCAGAGGGTTTGTGGCTGTTGCAGTGCCCAGAGCTGGTCCTGGGGCTGCCTGCACAGGGGATGTTTGAGAACAGCTCTGTTCCTCGGCTGGAAGGCCCCAGCTGCTCATTGCATTTCTGTCACCTCTTGGTTTCCCAGCTGCAGCTGCTGGTTGGGCTGCAGAGAAAACCGCAGTTGGGGACAGGGGCGATGCAGAAGGAGGAGAAAAGCCACCAGCCAAGAGGCTGAAAGCAGAGCAAAACAGGAACGACGTGGAGGAAAGTGAGGTGAGCCTCACAGCCGCAAGCCACTGCCTGCCTGGTGCTGCTCAGCTGCTCACCGGGGCGCCCGGTGCCGGCGGCCTCACGGGGCACAACGGGGAAATGGCTGCACTGAGCCTCTGCTCTCATCCCCATCGCGGCCCTGCGCGTTGTCCTGCTGTGCCGCGGCGCCGGGTGCTGCTCAGAGCCAGCTGTGCTGCTGCGCCCTTCCTGCACGGTGCAGCCTCTGCAGTTCAGCTCTGTTTTCTGTAGGGCAGCACCGAAGGGGAAGCGGCCCAGCAGCGGCCCAGCACGGCACTGGGGGAGCAGAACAGCATCAGCAAGGCGTGCGCAGCTGCGTGAGCTCAGAGGACGGCGAGGGAACCGCGCTGGGAGCGGAGCAGGTGGCCGACAGCGCCGCGGGGTCCGACACCTCCTAACGGTGGCTGTGGGAGCGGGGCTGGAGCGGAAACACGGCGCTGCCGGGGCGGCTGCAGCCAGCGCGGGCTGAGGCAGCGAGGAGAGCTGGAGGTGGGGGCTGGGCGGGACCCCCTGCGTGCCGCAGCGCCGAGTTCGAGCTGCGAGAGCCAGGCCGGCTCCGGACGCACCGGCCGCTTTTTCGCTGAGCAGCTCTTCTCTGAAGATGCCAAAACCTTTTCTAACAACAGCTGTTTTCATTGCCCGAATGTTCGGGTTGTTTGTTTTCGCTCTTTGCAGTCCGTGGGTTGGTTCTGTCCTTTGGTCCCAGTTCTGTGACCAAAGGAGGGGGCAGAGGAGGTCCTCCGCGCTGACACGCAGTTCAGGGGCGACTGCTGTCCCCGTGTGGGTGACGCACGGTTCTGGGGCTTCGTTAGGGCTGAGTTAGCGAACCCACACCGGCAGTGGGGTGAGGGGCGACCTCCCCGCCCCCCAGGCACCTCCCGCAAATCGCATTACTGCTTTAATCTGCCCTTACAGGACCAGGGTCGCCCTGTGCCAGGCACGGCGCCTGGCGCCCCCGCTCAGGGGGTGGGGGTCGTGCCGCCCCCCCGCCCTCTGTGCATCTGTGCGGCCCCCCGGGGGGGGGCAGCTCCCGCTCTGCGTATTTGGAAGCGTGGAGATGTCAACCTTGAGACGATTTTGGACTGCTTTGTACCCCCACCGGGAGCAGCTCCCTCTTCTGCCCCGACCTCTGTGCCCTCCGTCCCCCCCGAGCACCCCCAGCCCCCGCCCCCATCCCCACGGCCCAGCGGAGCCACGCGGGCAGCAGAACGCACCGCTCGTCTCTTTAATTGCCCGACGCGGTTTTAATTGCCCTACACGGTAGGACAAGCCCAGCCCTGGGGCGCAGCCCCGCCTCCCGGGGGGTCCCACAGCGCTGAATAAATTAGGGGGAAAACATGAAAAACGGGGATGTGGGGGCACGAGGGACCCCAGCAGCGGGGGCCGTAGGGACACTCGTCACCTGGGGGCGGTGGGAGAGCGGATACGGAGCCCCCGTGTCCCTGCGGCGCGGGGGACCCGCAGGGGCTCAGGGCACCGGGGGGGGTTTGGGCGGCAGGGGGGGCTTCACGGAGAGCGAGCGCTGCAGGGGAACGGCGTGGGGAGCCCACGGCGGAGCCCCCCCCGGGGCCCCCAGGGAGTGCATGCGGATGAGGCCGCGCGCCGCGCCGGCTGCTCTCGCTGCCCCCTCCAGGGAGTGTCTCTGTGCCAGCGGCCGGCGGGGCGGCGGGGGGCTGTCGGGGGGCACGTCGAGGCGCCGCGGGGCTCCGTCCCACGGGGCCAACGAAGCGGAACCCGGCTGCACCCGGTTGGCCACGGGGCCGGGGGGGGGGCAGCGACCGCCCTGCGGCTCCCGAGCCCTCTGGGATGGCTCTGAGCGGGGGTCCCGGGCCGGGGGGCTGCGGGGCGCTGAGCCCGTGGGGCGTCCTGGTGGGGGGCTCCGGGCTGGGCGGCTCGGGGTGGGGGTCCGGGGCCCCGTCGTGGGGGGGCAGCGGGGGGTAGAGGCGCGGGGCGGGCGAGGGGTGCGGGCTGGGGGGCTCGGGGGCGCCTTTGGGTGCTGCCGGTCGGCGGGTGCAGGCGGCTCCCAGTCCCGCCACCAGCGCTCCCAGCACGAAGGCGCCCAGCACGCAGCCCACCAGCACCGGCACCGGCACCGCCGCCTCCCGCACCGCTCCGCGGACCCCTGCAGGCAGCACCACAGGTGGCACCGCGTCCCTCCTGCCACTCCTCCCCCGTCCCGTCCCCCTCCGTGGTCCTTCAGGTCCTTCTCCCCCTCCCGGGTCCCCCTGTCCCTGCGTCCCTCCTGTCCCCAAGGCCCCTCCATTGTCCCCACATCCCCCCTGTCCCATCCCCAGCCCGTGGTCCTCGGGGTCCTCCCCCCATCCTTTGGGTCCCATTCCCTCCCCGTGCCCCTTCCCCGCCCCACAGCCCCCTCCTGGTCCGTGTGTCCCCTCCCAGACTCAGGGTCCCCCCCAGGACTGTCCCAGCTGGGGGAGGCGTGGGTGTCACTCACCATGGGCCTCATCCCCATTGTCCCCATCCCTGTCCCCTGCAGATGCTGCACCTGGGAGAGCAGAGCGGGGTCGAGTCTGGGACCACTCATGTCCCCCTCCCAGTGTATCCCAAAGGTCCCCCTGGTGTCACTCGCGGTGCCCAAGGGCCCCGGATGTCTCCCAACGCCCCCAATATTCCCCACATCTCCCAGTGTCCCCAAATATTCCTCTGTGCCCCCACCCCCCCACTCTCCCCAGCTGCCCCCCTTGATGCCATCTGCATTCCCCCCAGACCCCACATCCCCGGATGTCCCCGCTGTCCCCTCACCTGGGCAGGTCCCCGTCAGCCCGCTGGACCCCTCCACGTCCTGCTCAAAGCCGTCCCTGGGAACACAGTGGGGACACAGTGGGGACACATTGGTCCCCCACCCCCCGGGGATGGGACACCCAAGAATTGGGGTCACCTCTGCCCCACTGCAGCCCCACACCGCACTGGGGAGGAGGGGACACACTCACGGGAGGTCCTTAGAGAAGGGGACGCAGCCCCCGGGGGGCAGCCAGACGCAGTAGGGGTCCCGCGCCGCCAGGCAGCTCCTGTGTGGGGTCAGCACTCAGCGTGGGGCCGCCGGGGGTCCCCCGTGCCCCCCGTGTCCCCATACCGGCGGCACTGCCCGTGCCGGGCGCAGCGGCTCAGGGGCAGTCGCACGATGCACCCTGAGAAGGCGACGATCAGCTCTCGGCCTTCGGGGTGCAGCTCCAACCCCAGCACCCGGCTGGCGCCGCGCGGCCCCCGGCACCTGCAGACCCCACAAGCCCTGCAGTGCCCAGAGGCGCCGCACGGCCCCGCAGGGCCCCACAGCACCCACGTGGCCCCATTACCCCCAGCAGTCCCACATGGCACCCACAAAGCGCCCACCCAACGCCACCACACCCACCTGACCCCATGGCACCCACAAAGCCCCCATCAGCGCCCCCCATGACCCCACGGCACCCACCTCCCGGCCTCGTACAGCCTGATCTCCTCCAGCAGCACCGCCTCAGTGCCACCATCCCCGTTGTTGTCCCCATTTTCATCCCCGTGTCCCGCAGTGTCGCCGTGCTGCCCGTTGTCCCCGGGGCGTCGTGCGGCCGTCAGCACCTTCAGCACCCGCCCGTCCTCCGACCCCACAAACAGCACCGTCTGGTTCCCCCGCGGCCCCGCGCCCACATCCACCGCCAGCTGCGTCAGCCTGCGTGCACCGAGGTGCTCGGCGTCCCTTTTTGTGTCCCCAGGGCCGCCCCACGTGTCCCCCACCTCGCCGCCCCGTCACCTGGTGCCGGTTTGGGTGAAGAGCGGCCGTCCCCCGGCGGGTGCCACCGCCCCGTGCAGCAGCGGGTGCTCTTTGGCGAAGGACAGCGTCTCATCCGGAATGTCCCCAGAGGTGACGACGGCAGCGGCCGACCCCATCCCTGCACAGCAGCCGGGTCTGGGGACATCGGGCACACGAGGGGACGTGAGCGTGGGGACGCGGCTACGGGAGGACGTGGGGACGGGGCGCGTGGGTACGGGGACAGATGGACGTGGGGACACGGGGACGTGGCTACGGGGAGGTGGGGACGGGGAACACGGCTGCAGGGCAGTGGGACACGGCGAAGGGACACGGGGCACCTGGGCCGGGGCACGCGCTCCTCGGGCACTGGGGGCCACAGGGCCGCGGCTCCGCGGGGGTCGGCGAAGGGTCCCTCAAAGGCGCGCTCCACATCCGCCAGGTAGAAGGCGCAGACGGCCGAACCCGGGATGCTGCGGGGTGACACGGGGCTCTGCCTGGGGACACCCGGCGGCCCCGACCTCCGAGTCCCCGTGTCCCCGCACGCAGCCATGTCACCACGTCTGCCCTCAGCCCACGCTCACGTCGCCTCTGTGCCCTTGGGCACCCGGCTCCCTGTTTCCCCATCTGCCTGTGCTCACGTCCCCGGTGTCCCCACGTTCCATATTCCCAAAGTCATGTGCCTGTGTCCCCATGTCCCCATATGCCCAAGTCCCCGGTATCCCCTGTGTCACCAAGTCCCCAGTGTCCAATATCCCCGTCTCCCCAAAGCCATGTCCCCAGTGTCCCATATCCCCGTGTCCCCACAGTCACGTCCCCACATCCCCGTCCTCACATCCCTGCTGTCCCCATACCTGTTGCGCTGCGTCCCAAACACCGCCAGCACCGCGGGCCGTCCGTGCAGAGTGTGGGGCGCGGTGACGGCCTCGAGGACATCGAAGTGGAAGGGGACGTCCCCGGGCACGGCGCACTGCAGCCGCTTCTTCAGGAACGACGTCCAGCGCCGCTCCAGGACCCGCGGGGAGCCGCCGGCGTCATTGCGGCACACGCGGCCCACGCGGGACACCGGCACCTGCGGCGGGAGCAGCGCCCCCAGCGGCGGGGGTGGGAGCTGCACTCGCTGCCATGGGAACAGCGCCCCAGGCGGTGGGGGTGGGAACGGCGGCACGGCAAGGGGCCGGGGTCAGGGTCAGGGTCGGGGTCAGGATTAGGGTCAGGGCCAGAGCTATGGGGTCAGCTTCAGCGTCTGGACTGGGGTCGGGGTTGCTCCCGTGGAGCCACAGTTATGGATGCCCCACCTTCCCCGGCAGCCCCAGCTCCGCCGCCATCTCCCGGAAGAAGAAATAGACGTGTGCTCCGTGGGGCATCGCGTGGACGAAGTGCGGCTCTGGGGACAGCGCGGCCATCAGCACCACTGCGCCCCAGCACCCGCAGTGCCCGCAGCCCGATGTCCCCACGCACCCCTCAACCAGCGGGAGCTGTACTTGATGCTGCGCAGCGCCGGGCCGCGCATGCTGCGGTAGATGACGGCATCGCTCGCCTGGAAGTCCGCCACGGTAGCCGAGTACAGACGGTCGTCTGTGGGGTCAGCACACGGGGATGGTGAGTCGGGCAGTCCAACACCCGCCCCACATCCCCACAGCCCCGTATCTCCACATCACCAACGCCCCTCTGTCCCCTCGGTGTCACCCACCGGCAAAAGTGGCTGCGATGCTCTGCCGTGCGTCGAAGGGGCAGCGAGCCTGTCCAGGCAGCTCCTCGCCCTCCTGCTGTAGGGTCAGCGCCTGCAGGACCCCATAGCGCCCCATGGGGTCTCACAGTGTCCAGTGGAGGTTCCATAGTGCCCCGATGGGGCTCCATCCCATACGGCCCCAAAGGGGTCCATAGGGTGCAGTGGGGTCCCACAGAGTGCAGTGGGGCCCCATTCTGCCCCACGGGTCCCCCCCCACCTGGTAGGTGCGGCACACGGGGCTGAAGGCGTTGGTCCCACAGACAAAGAGGGTCCGGGCATCACGGGGCAGCAGCACACGGATGTGGTTGTGGCAGCCGTCCTGTGGGGCAGCCCCATCACCTCCCCATCATCACCATCCCATCACCCCACCATCACC